GAAATTGCGCCCCCTAGCGTACAGATGTCACTTGAGAGGGATGAGGAAAATAAGAGTTTTCTTAAGTAGCTCTATGACATCTCCTTCCACGGGTTATTCTCTAGCACCAGGTACTGGCGCTGCTCTGAAAGAGTTCCAATTGGATACTTCTTCATCGCACACGAGCGCAACTGGGGAGGGGGAGAAATAAACAACATCAAGATGGACTTGCTGTATTGTTTGTAAAAATATATATGAAGTAATGTTTGGTTTAACACGTCTTTAACCATTTCCCTTCCGTTGTTAAGATTGCACCTTATATAAAACACCGGGTACACGTGCTGGGGTGCGGGATAGTACGGTGAATATAACGACAAGCAGGTATACCTAGAAAAATATATAATAGTAGGGAGGCATGAACATGCTCTTCATGGCATATCAGTTTGACATGGAAATGGTCAACAAACCAAACCAGGACAATGCTAAACGAAGTCGTGAGACTTGTATTACTCTGTGCTTGAATAAATAAAATGTGATTTTTTAAAAAAAATTGGGCCTTTTTTTACATTGCAGAGCCAGTTTTTATTTTGTTTGTGTGGCTCTTTTTGTGGATGCACATTTTGTAATGCGTTCATGCTCTGGTCGAAAAACTGTTTTGTGAGTCTGTGGGTTTTTGCTGATGGCGAATGGTGACAGGAAAATATGTGGCTCTGTCTGCCTGCTTCTTTAGACCTTGCCGGTGTTGAAAAGCACGTGGTTGTTTGTAATTTCAGCTGCAATTTATCTTCTGCAAACATAAATCATGTCAACCGAATATGTTTTTTTCCCCCTTCTCGCTGATGAAATTGGCTAAATACATGGCAATGTATGCTTTGGGTTGGATTGGTGTTATGAAATGTATATACAAAAAAATATCATAAAAGATTGCAATATTTGTTTCTCAGATATTGATATCAGTTTTAGATTTTCCATTAAAGTTCTTTCACAATCATTTATTTATATTATTCGGTGCAAATGTACAATTTATGCGTCACCTTTATGCATGCACCCAAATGTTACAAAATATGTCTTAGCATTTTTATTTATATTTTCAACAACAAATACCAGTACAGAGACACAATAAACTGGGGTCCATATACACCTAAGTGTCTGGTACAAACTAGAATTAATAACAATACAAATTACAATGTATATTGCGATGCAACATGGCAAGCCGTTTCAAGCGGTAACCTAGCGCACTGCCTCGCAACCGATGAACCACGACAACGATCAAATGTGCGCTGTTGTGTTGTCGGAATTACAGGAGAGAGAGAGATAACCTCACTGTTCACAAGCTAGGACAGACGAATTTCTACCGTGTCGTTCAGTGGCCGATCCATTCCCCGCCTCCCAACATCCCCTCCCCATTGGTCGAGACGCAGCACGGGCAGCAGACGGCCCGTCAAATTCCAACCGCCAGCCACCCACCCAACCCACCCGGGCACCCACAGTGAGTTTATGGTTTCGATGTGCCACGAACATCAAGCGAACTCGAGGGTGTGCCGTGGAATGATGACGCCTGAGAAGCACCGATCTATGGGATGCATAGAGAAACGAGAGGGAGAGAAAGGGAGAGAAAGGATTGGAATGCATAGGAAGAAGGGAGCAGGAGAGGAAGCGAACTTTGGCAGATTAAAAAAAATCACAGTTTCTTAGCAGAGGCCCAATGGCCCAAAGCGCAGACTACGATCAAAGTGAGGAAATAGCGCACGCTTGGAATGACAACGAGAAAGAGAAAACACACGGATGAGAGAGCAAATGCAAGCGAGGCTGCATAATTTTGACTGCTAAGAAAAGTCAGTGTGGGATGAGGCAGGACATGTGACGAGAAGGAATGGCGGCTGGTGCTCGACTACAATAGATGGATTAACTGTTGCCGTCAAGTCAGAGGCACTAGACATCATCCAGCAGTGGATAAAATCAACAAAAACAATGCAAATGGTATTGGCCAAAAGTCCCAATGGTTAAACATGACATGCAAATTACTGGCCTCAATTTGGCATGGTAGCAACATCGCCCCCTACCGCACGTACAACACCAACAAACTTGGCAAGGCCCTCCTGAAAAAGCGTCTTGAGAATCGGTTGAGACTGGTCTCGGTCAACAAGCGGAAAAAAGTGCGGTTGAAGATGATGACAACAGAACATTCAAGGTCTCAATAAGTTTCTTTCAGAGGTCGGCTGTAAGATGATATTCACATTTGAGGGATTGAACATGTGACATTTGTTTTTATTTGACTGCCTAAATTTCTTAATTTAACAATGAGCTCTGGTTTACAATTCGCGTACAATACATTGATAAATCATAAATTTCATGTTAGCTTTTGCATACATACATTTTTTTACGAAAAAAAAACCCGTTAATTATTCCCAGAATTACATTTTTCACTGTGTATATTTCCTTGGGGTCTTGCCTGCTTGTAAATTAACCTCATGTGTATATTAGATCCACTATATCTCTCTAGAATACCGTATATACATAGACACATACGTTACGCTGCGTCCTTAGTGGCGAGTGCTTTTGCTCTCCGAACCAGACCATTTGAGTACGATTCACGGCCTTGGCTGATGTCAGTGGCGAGCGAACCGTGAATTGGTTTGTGGAGCTCTCTTTGTCCAGCCCGCATTGACCAGCATGGTGGAGTATGCTCGAGCAAACCTCCACCCCACCCAAGACTGACATGGCATGGGGAGGACCTCCATTCCATCAGTGGATTGACCAATGGATACAGGAACTGTTGCAATATGACGGTGTGATAATAATTGTATTGCTATCGGTAAACAAATTGGATGCAACCGTGGCGTAATGGAAAGCACACTGAGAATGAAACCTTTGATTCCATGCCAAACGACCCAATAGTGAATATCATTAGTTCATACGACTATGCCACATACACTTATTATGGAACGTGAATCGATTTTACAAGACATTGAAAGAACGTTTCCAAAAATTTTAAGAAAACATTGCTATTTATATATTTATACACAAGTACAAACACGAAAATGAAAACCAATTTAATCACACAGCATATTTTACTTCTCAAGGAGTGCAATGCATGCTCTCATGAGTCATACATACAAAATTAAAGTTCCAAAATGTCCAATGGCCTTGTATTGGACTTTTACTGTCCAAAAGGGCGTTCCAAGTTAGGATGATGAAATCCATTTGCATGCAGGTGCTAGGTGGATTATTATTATGATTACATTTGCTGGATCGAATTAGTGGTGGCAGTTTGAGGAGGCCTTCAGCCAGCAGTGGATTGGCCATAGTTGATGGTAGTGGTGATGACGATGATGCAGATGGAAACATAAGGAACGATCCCGTACAATTCCGAACACTTTCTTGTGATCTGCTCTCATCTGCTTTATTGAAAATCACGAACTTCTGGGAATTTTTTCTTTGTTTTTTTTCGGTAAAGTCACGTATAAAGAAAAAATAATAAATTAAATAATAGCATACGACGTTTCGATTGCAACACAAGCAATCATCATCAGGTATAATGAAATAGCGACATAAAATCTAACCAGAAAACTATAGACAGACATATAAGCAGACAGATATCACCAAGATACACAGAGAGAGCAACACAGGTACAGAGAGGGGTGATCGTCTCTGTGGGGTGGCCTTAAATAGACAGAGGGGGGCGGAGGCAGAGAGAGGGAGGGGGTAGAGAATTTTTTTTACATGTCAATGAGTACGAAGGGACGCGTATTTTCACTCCACGAGGGATAACTGTAACAAAACCTGCAAGCATACCTTAAATGTCCCCATGGATGCATGGACAGAGGTAGTGGATGGAGCGAATGCGTGTCCGTTCATCATGCACGAGTGCATGCGTATGGGTGGCGGGTGGGGGAGCGGTGGTGCAGCGGTTAGCGTGCTGCGCTACAAACCCGGCCACACGAGTTCGATACCCGCTGTCGGCCAACACCGGTGACGAATATTTTAACGGGTCCTAGGCCTCCCCTAAGTAGACTCAGCCTCAAATAAGTGCGGTGTATAAACATCGACCACTAGGTAGACAAAAGCCGTCGGGAGTAGTGCTGGCCACCCACCCCTCCATGGGCCATGCTGGCCTTCATAGGTGCTCGCTAACAGCACTTGCCCCAACAGTCTGTTAAGGCTATACGGAGGGTCTTTGTCTTTGGATAGCGGGTAAGTTTTGTTAGCAAGCACCTGTGAGTTCCATTCCCGACCACGATCAACACCGGTGACAACATATCTGAACCAGTCCTTACGCTCCCCTAGGTTGACTCAGCCTTAATTTTGACCCAGGTAGGATGCGTCAACATGGGCGCCGGTCGTGGTCCTGCCCATACCGTCAGTCGGTGCACCCGTAACCCACTCCTCACTGGTGCTCGCAAACAGCACTTGCCCCGAACTGCCAGTGAAGGCTACGCGGGGGATCTTTGTCTTTGTGTGTTGCTTTGGAAAGCCCGAGAGACGCGACACGAGACGCAGTGCAGAATTCCCCAACACCAGGCAACACGGATCTACCCTCCCGATGCCTCTGCTTTTCTGCAATAAATGTTCACGTCATGGCGAGCTACTTGGTTGAGCTCTCATTTGTGGCGAGGTCGCTTCTGAAAAGAAAAAGCTAATCTGCTCAGTGGGCTTTACCTGGTAGAATATAAATAGTTTTGTTTTAATTGTATTTGCAATTTGTTGAGTAATTGCCTGACCTCTCCTATCGTCTGCACTCGTATCGCGTGTTTGTATTGTTTTATGTCCTAACGTTCTCACCCGCCCCTTGCTGTAGGAGCTTTTGCAGTGCATGGGATCCCCCCAGTGAGAGTAAATGTTGGAGTTCTGATAGCCACACACGTGCCGCAACCTGCAGAACAAGGCACGCCGCCTTGCAACCCAATCCGGCAACCCCCCCCCCCTCGTTGCCCCCCCACCCCCCCTATTTCTCCATCCACCACCGAGCGCCACCCTCGGCGGAGGCAAAAATAATCCACTCCGGGCACAGTGACGTCCTAATGACTAATTCCCCGCTGTCAGACCGTGCGCTTCGGCGACGTGGACACGCCCGCACCAACTGCGCGTGTCTCCTCCCTCCTCCTGCTGCTGCTGCTGTTCATCCCCTGCTCATCGGAGCTTAACATCATCAGCACGCGGATGCCACTGGCCACTACCGCCGCTGCCGCCGCCGCCGCCGCTGCTACTGCTGCTGGGTTTACATTGAGCCAATCGCTTCGCCCACCCGACCCACCCGTGCAGTTATATCTCGCGCGTACGACTTTAGCAAAAAGGGGGGCTTGCTTGATGAAGTGAAAATCATTTTGTAGCTTCTGTTAATCGTTCCTTACCCCACCCCCTTTCACTTCCCCCCACATCCACCCTCTCTTTCTCTCGTTCGTTCGCTCCCTTTGGGTTGTCTCACTCACACACTTAACACACACACCACACACACACAGAGGTATCACTTTGGCTGCAGGCAGGGCTGAACGAAAGTCAGCGTGCGAAGGTTTTCCCACCCCCCACCTCTCCTCCCCACCACTGCTCGCGGGTGTTGACAGCGGCTATGCGTTCAAGACCAGCGCTCAAAGTGAACAGGGCGCGCTGCGGTGGATGGATCTTTGCTTGAGCACAGTTGGGGTGACAAGAACGCTCGCTTGTACGTCGCAAGCAGACGCCCTGAATTGAAGGTAATTCTACGTTTCTCTCTCTCTCATTTTACGTCTGTCCCGCACTCGCATAACGCGCCAGTTTGAGTGGTCCTGTGATGCCATTCGTGTTTGTGCGCGTGACTGTTTCGAGTGCGTGCGTGCGTGTGTGTTCCGCACCGGTCTTCATAGGTGCTCGCTAACAGCACTTGCCCCGACAGCCTGTTAAGGCTACACGGGGGATGTTTGTCTTTGTTTCGCGTGTTTGAGGAGCGGTAGTGTAGCCGTTTGCGCGCTGCGCTAACACCAGTGACCATTATCTGAACCGGTTCTGGGCCTCCTCTAAGTCGACTCAGCCTCAAATAAGTAACTGGTGTGCTGTGTGAACATCGCCACTGGGGAGACAAAGGCGGCCGGGCGTGGTGCTGGCCACACACCCCCTCGCGTGCCGTGCCGGCCGTCAATAGGTGCTCGCTAACAGCACTTGCCCCAACAGTCTTTTCAGGCTATACGGGGGATCGTTGCCTGTGTGTGCTCCTGGAATGCATATGCACTTGTAGTTTCAAAATAATTAATTTCCTGTTGAAGTTATCCATAACCTCCGAATGGTAATTAATCAGAGACACTTCATGTGGTCAATTGTAGCACACAGAAAAGTGTATACACGCGGTCATTAGACATTTACGCAATGAGTAATTTATTAGCTTGTGATTGGAGCGGTCTATGTGTATGCGTGTGTTGACTTGCCCTAGGAGTGTGTTGAAGCTATAGGGGGTTCTTTGTCTTTGTTGCGTGAACCTGGACAGCAGAGGCACGTGTAGCTCTGATAATAATTGTCCTGCTGTAGTTATGCATGCCAAGGGTAATCAGAAACACGATAACGTACTCGAAGCGCTCAATTGTTTCAAAGACAAAGATCCCCCGTAAAGCCTTTTCCAGGCTGTTGGGGCAAGTGCTTTCAGCGAGCACCAAACATCGTGACACTCATATTCTGTGTCACACACAAGCACAGACGAATATACATATAGGTGCTCGTCATTTACGCGTATTGTGATAACTTAAAATGCTGTCTAGGGAAATGTCAAATAGATGGGTAAATTGCTGGGCTGTCACCCACTGCAAAAGAAATGGCCCAAAACGAAACGCGTACATTAGCACGGGTGTTTTTGTAATCACAGTCTGTTGGGTTATAACGTAGGTGCACTTGGCACTGCTGGATTGTTGCCATGGGCTTGATTGTTTTAGGTTTAATGGGGGATCCTACTGGGCTGCGGATCAATAGCTCCACTCGTGTGTGTGTGTGTGAGGCTACTGCATAGCAAGGAATCTGCCACCAAGCCAGTCGTATGCATAATTGATGCATTAAGCGTTACAGCCAGGATTCAGCCACGAAAGATCATCGACATCTCGAGGTCAATTAAACACGGAATGCGCTGGAAAAGGGAACCAGTTTTCCAGAGGCACTTTTAATTTGCCGACGGAAAATCGCTCCGTTTAATATGAAGAGGGTTAATCAGTGCACGGGCGGACAGCAACACAAATGATTTATATGCAAATATTACAGCTGAGAGGTGGGGCAGTGGCGCAGTGGTTAGTGCCACTCTGCTCGGAAAAACCGACCACCTGAGTTCGATTCCCCGGATGTGGCTGACGCGGGCGAGTCCGTGTCTCTCACCGAGCCCTCCGCCCCAAACCGCCCACCTCGCACTGACCAACGTGGTGAAGTATGGTCAAACAACCCCACGTGAGCGCTCTGGCGTGCGGAGACAATCCAGAATCAGAATATGCGTTCATACTGGAGGAATCCGATGAGCTGTGAAGGTCTTTTGCACAGATTTCCAGTCGGGGTCGGGTCAGAATGGCACAACAATCTAGCAGTGGATAAAAAAAACCGCCATCATCTGTGCTTAATATTGGACATGCACACGTGCGCATGCACTCGTGGACATGCACACGCGCGCATGCACACGGAAACAGTCAACAGCGGCGCTTGTGCCAGGCTAGGTGCACTTTTGGACCCGCGTGAAGTGTCGAAGGCTGGCCCACAGGCAGGTCACGGGACAGATCCAGGTGCCATGGGTTGACCGCTTGGTGATACGGGTATTAAATAAGCTCATGCGAACAACTACTATAATCGGACACAAACTGTTATCATCGTTTGATTTAAACGTACCCGGGGCAGCACTGCATTGCTATTAAGGAACACGCATACGCGCGTATGTTGAATAACAGCTCAGAGTCAGAATCTGTACTTAGACTGGAGGAGGAATGCGATGAGCTATGAAGCCCGGTGGTGGATGGTCAGCAAATTACAACAACAGACAATACAAAGAGAGATAAAAGAAATAAAAGGCAAAACAAAACATCAGCTTGTTTGATATTCGCAGCCTCTGTTTTAAAGGAACGGGAGGCACACTCATGTAAAGCCGTGCGCTCAGGCAGGCGTTCCCCATTGTTACCCCGAGCTAAGGACAGATGGTGTTTGCGACTGCTACGTGTGTATGTGTGTACGTATGCTGAAGTTCTTTCTCGCCGTACGTAGCCAACCGCGCTAATTGGCTGTGAGCCATGAGCCAATGGATGACGTTCATTGTTTACTACGATTGCGCGCGCGCGCGGTGCCTGCGGGATTGGGTGCTCGTCACGCCCGCTAAGCCACCCCTAGGGAAGAGATTGATGGGTGGGGGGGTGGCGGTCTTGGTGGATGGGTTGGTGGTGGGTGGGTGGTGGTGGGGGGTTGCAATCTCTGTTGTCAGCAATCGCGCCGTTCGTGCAATCCTCGCAGCACATTTTGGATGTTGAGACGCGAAAAGGCCGAGCAGACGACAACAGTGGAAGGATTTCTTGCCGGAGCGCGCGGTTAACGGAAGGGTTAAGGACAGAAGCTGAGTGCGAATGTGTCCTGTTTTGGGCTGATAATTATTCACGTGAAAACTCACTCGACGTATGGTTAGCTCGGGACTCCGGTGTTGGTATTTTGAATTGTTCTGTTATGTTTTTTTTGAAATTTGTATTATCTGACTTGCCATTGAAGTAATCACTTGTTTTAGTCGGGTCATGAACCTGCCACGGTCTACACCAGCGTGGTGAAGTATGGTCAAACAACCCCCATGACCGACACGACGGTGGGGGAAGCCTTCAGCCACGGATTGGACAACGGGCAGCAACACATAACGTTCAATTTTATTTCATTACCAAATGCTAACCTCCGATGAGCATGTTTGTCGACGTACGGTGCGAATAGAAGTTCAACGTATACATACACGAATCTTATCAGTCACAGGGGTTGTTTTACCATATTTCCCCACACTGGTTGGTGTGGGTTGGTGAAGAGGTGAGGTGGGGGCGTGGGGGAGAGAACACGTGCAGATATCCTCTTTCAGTGAATGTTAGCCAGAGCCGGGAATTAAACTCAGGTTCACTGCTCATGACACAATCCTCCACCAACTCTACTCCGCAATTAGTATACAATGCACCGAATAATTACACCAAAAAACTGTTTGTGATGCTGCAGCGCTAAATCCAGCATGCTGTAACACCAAGGAATCGCGTGCATACCACGCAGCCGTCGTCGATAACAAGTATAATTGCATCTTACGTGGACATCGAGACGAAGATAATGAATTGCATTGTTGTGGCAGTGATAAAGCAAGCCCTGCCATAATACACAATAATTATGTGTTTAAAGCACTAATCTATAGAGCATATCAATTTTAAATTAACACAAGTGGCCAGTCGCAGCTAATTATTGAGAGGGTAACGTACTGGTGGTGATAATTTCAAAGTGCTGTTTAATCAATGCACAGTAAACACAATATAGAGGTGAACTATCTGCGCCCTTAATTGACACAATCAAAGTCAGAATGGCTGAGCGTGGAGTTTCGTTTTTTTATTTCCCCACCCCACGTGAGATGGAGCGTGTGACTTGAGAACACGAGTGCTCGTGGAAGCGTAAAGATTGAGCGTGATGCTATGATACAGCAGGAAAGAAGTACACGTGGCATGCCTGCGGTGTATGTACAAACTGAATTCAACATGGGGCGCTTATGCCACGTGCTAAACAACAACAACAACAAAATCGACTAGTTTTTTTGTTTGTTTCCCTGACCAGTGAGTAGCTCTATCCATTGCAACAGCTGAACGGAACGAAACCCGCGTGCGCTTTAAAGTCTCGACGCGAATCAAGAAGCGGCATGGAAATTGGGGACACGTTGAACCGCCCAGAGGCGTTTGATATCAAATGAATAAAACCTAGACGAAGACTGGCAATGCAATGACACGTTCCGAAGGTTACGATCACTGCCATGGAATCATGCAAAAAATGCTTCATAATGGTTTCCGGAGTCGCTGGAAATCAGCCAATATGCGCCTCTCACCCCTCCACCCCTGCATCGCCTCTCCCAGCCTCCCACCCAACTTTCAAACCCTCCCCAGTTGCCAAATCTCTCCACCCAAGCTAGGACCTCCCTTATTGCTTCTCCAGGATCAACATCCGCACCCTCAACCCAACCTCCTCGACTGCTCTCCCCAACAAAATCTCAAATGCCCCCCCCTCCCTCCCTCCCTCCGCGGGAATATTAATTTCACAGTGATTTTGCCCTGTCTCGGGCCCCTTTGGAGGGCCGATCAGATAGATTTCAGGGCAAGTGACGTCAGTGAGTGCTCGATTCAGATCGGCTCAGCTCAGCACACGAGACGGACGCGACCAAAGAATTCTATCCCCTCGCTTGAAAACGCCCGCCTGCCAGGTACTCATTTCAAGCTCAGTCGAGCCAACACCCTCGGAGGGAATACGCGCCAATTAGAAAGTAATTCCGCAGTTTTTTTGTAATTTGGCTCGGGAAGACCGAGGCCTGGAGACGATCCATGTGAATCTCAAGCACCGTGGCAACAACTGTGTAATTGCGCAAGGCACAATTTCAGCTGGTGGCACTCATCCCCAAGACAATTTAATGCTCATTTACCAAAAAGCCTTATCTGCGGGCAATTAATAACAGCGCAATCAGATACAGTACACATGTAGTGATGAGAGCCCGAGTGGG